GCCAGGACAGGCTAACTCATTCCCTTCATATGGCACGGGATCCCTGGGAAGGACTCCAGCTGCCTCGACACAAGGCAAAGGACCCAGGAGAGAACAAACCTCCGTGAGAGCTGGTCTTCCTGGGAGCGGACAGAGCTCTCCCCCACCGCCGAAGCGCCCTCGGGGAGCTGGTTGAGCTGGTCCATGATCTCCAGGCCGTTCTCCTCCGCAATCTGGACGATGAGACTGTCCACCTGCTCCTGCGGCGTGGTCAGCGTGGTGGCGGAGCTCATGGAGTCCTCCATCACCTGCGACAGAGACAGCCTGTCACCCGGTCCCATGGCAGGGCCCTTTCCTGGCTGCAGACCCCACATCGTCCTGGCCCCCACAGCCCGAACAGCCTCCAGCCTGGCAGCAGGACCTCAGCGAAGGGACACAAGGTTCGGTTCTGCCCCAGACGCCCTTTGAGCAATAGCCAGCTACGGCATAGGGACAGCCGCCCTCCCTCTCCTCCCCGTCTGCCACGTTCACACCTTTGCACGGCAAACTCCCTCCCCATCGGACAGAGACGTGGCTCCCCCAGTGCCTCTCCTACCCCGCAAACGCAGAGAACAGAATCGCCTGACCAGCTCAGGGCTTTCCCACACCGGAGGCTGGAGTCCCCCAGGGGAACAGAGCACTGCTGGGGACGCCTGACTTACAGCCAGGACCCGGCTCTGCCCCGGGAGGCAGCCGTTACGGTGCACAGAGACGAGCCCACCCTCCCGGACCCAGCAGCTCCCAGCCCCCTCAGAGGCCCCTAGCACTTACCGACGTGTGAACATCCAAATTCTGAACCTGCTGCTCGAATTTATCCATCACCGCAGACACCTTCTGCAGGTCCATGGAGCTCAGAGCCTTGTCTAAGGCCTTGGTCACCTGCGCCATGTTTTTCGTCACCTGCAAGAGGAGGATGCTTCATAGATGCTCCCCAAACTCATCGCTGCTGAGAGTAAAACCCAGGCCAGCGAGAGAGAAGCCGGCGTTTCTGATGCCTGCAGCAGTGCTAGGAGGCAGGACAGGCTCTGCCTGCTCACCAGACGCTGCAGCCAGCAGCCTGGCTGTGGGTTCCAGCCACACGCGGTCCCTGAAGACCCCCAGCCCCCCAGCCTCATCCATGCCAGGAGGCAAGACACTCCGGGCACGGGCCCCTCTCTCTGCGCAGCCTCGGGTTCAGAATTTAAATCGAGCCCCCGACAACGCAGCTCCACTGCGGGGCCACCCAGAGGGACTCTTTGCAGGCTGCACCACGGTGAGGGGGGCTGAGCTAACCAAGAAGCCGAGCGGGATCCTTTCTGGGGGCAGGGATGTCGAGAGGGCTCGAGGCAGCGAGAGGAAGAGCCAAGGGCCTCTCTCTGCAGGGCACAGACGGGTCTCGAAGCCCCAGGCCCACGCCGAGGCTCTTACCCCCTTCATCGTCACTGCTGTCTGGACCTTGGAGGCCACCGCATCCACCCGGGATGACATGCGAAGCCAGTTAAGCCCCTCGTTCTTCTTGCGGATGGCATTCTCCGCGTAGACGCGAGCGCATTCCACGTTCTTCTGCTGAAGGGCCTGGAAAGGGCAAAGAGCAACGGCTCGCACGGAGAATCCACCGCAGGTCTATAAACAAGCGGGTTCCGTTCCTGCCTGGCAGGTTTCCAGCAGGAAACAGCTCTCCTGCGACTCCTGTGACCCTCAAAACACCGACCACGCCCTCGGATGGGAACCAAATCCCTCTCAGTGTCACAGGGACGCACCACATCTACCGGCAGATTTGAGAGCTGAGGGGGACACTCGACATACTCGGAGGCTGAGCTGTCATATGCTTGAGGAAGGGGAC